GGTAATTCAGTATAAAGAATTCTCTCATGACCTCATACACTGCCGTACTGGGTGCGTCTCGGTCAATTTTACGGCCGGACTTTGCCAAATTTAATGATGAAGATATATCTCCCGAACTAATGAACGCAGCTCGATGAAACTTGGTACATTCGCCGTGATCAAGGAATTTCTTTCAACCACTCAACAGATTTGAACGAAATTTTGAATATAGATTCCTAACTACAAAACGGTGATGTCTGGCTCGTGAAATTTTTTTAGATTTTGCATTCGTTCGCGTGTTTTTTTTTCTATTTCACCGTCATCCGTGATTTAAACAGCAATACGTGCTTAAATTCGCAGTGATCAGGAAATTTTTTCTAAACTCCTACACAGATTTGAACGTAACTTTGTATGTGAATACCTAACCTCCCAACGGTGATGTTTAGCTCGTGATAATTTCGGGCGTGGTCTCACTCCTTGGCGAGGTCTAAGGACTCTAGGGAATTTCAATGTTGGCACCTATCCATCATTTGCACAATATTTTTAGGGCGGGAAGAACCTTCAGGTAATAATGCCATGCAGTAATGTTTTCTGTGGACTTAGTAATTTTAGTCTCGTAGATTTAAATATCATCTCGAAGGCTATCAGTATCAGTAATAAAACAACAGACTTTCGTCACAATCTCAAACCATAAGAGCCAAAGCTGCTACAAAAGATGAACAATAAATCGTGCATAGGCAAGGTTATACCTAAATTGACGGTACGAAATCTAATATTTTTATTCATTCGGTTACGCATTAGCAATATTTTGATACACTTGATATACATATCTAGTTCGTGTTTTGCTATATTCCATTTCGTCGTATCTCAGTTAAGTTTTAGAAACTGAATATTAAACTAACTAATTATAATATTCAGTAAACATTCTTCATATTTAGCGCATCATGATCCAGTGAAAAATTTTTTATGTCATGTTAAACTTATAGTTTTTTAAATGGCAAATGTGATCAAAAATCATCGAAAATAAGTCATGAGCTTTTTCACAAAACATTCGTTGTAAAATAAATATTCAAATTTGCAGTGAATATTAATTTTTTTAATCTGTGAAAAAAAAATTTTCAATTGACAGAGTTCAACACTTCCCAGAAATCAACCTTGTACTGAATACTGAATACTGAATTCAATTTGGTTTCATGTGAACAAAATCGTTTCTCTTGACACTTGAGGCAACATTTGCCAACTCTACCCAGTCAATTAATTACTCATAACGCCTCACAGATGCCATGGCTACACGTTTCAGTGTCGCGAATTTCGTTAGCCGTCGCTGTTGTCAATCCTCAAGTTGTCTTGTTGTCAGACAAGTTGAAATACGCGAGGCTCATATGAAAAAGTGAGTGGTTAGTTTCTTTTGGATCAATGGAGGGTTAATGCGTAGCGAGTGAGTAACCCGACGATGTAATTTATTGCTGGTACTTTAATGACGAAGTGCAGCTCTAAATGCACATACAAGTAAAGAACCTGTTCCAGAATGAGTCGTGGCCGTACATGACATGTACATCTTGGATTTCTTAGCATGTACATAATCTAGCGTACAAATAAATGAAATCAAAGTCATTTCCTTGTAATCCTAACGTATTTCTTAAAATGAAACTCTGACATCAGGCACGGGGATTGTAAGCTATATGAAGCACTCATGCCTGCATTGAACTCTTCTTCTGCTCCTAATATCGAATGGAAGTTTTAAGTGGTTTTGTGGTCGACATAATTAAGTATTTGGCTGATCTCTCGCAACCACTTTCGCTCAAATATTACTGCACAGTTTAATGGCCCTGACCGGGAATATTTTTTCTTGAAATCAGTGTTAATATAGAGCTATGTATAGAATATAGAGAATTACTGGCAGCGGGCCAGTAATTCTCAGCGCTGTTCTGCTGAAGCGCGACAGGATCGACGATGTTCTACTATCCAGGATCGGCTCTAATATATCCTACTCGGGGTGTCAGACGTTATGTATGAACTCAGGTCGCTATTACTCGATTATAGCAAATCCAACAAAAAATATAACTGCAGTCAAGTCAAATTTTATTATTTCATTTATAACAGTTCAACAAATACAGCTCAGGGTTTATTGTGTTGCCAATTATTGGCAATTATTTTATCTTTTTCTAATAACTGTTGCGGGAAATATCGATGAAATACATTCTATGAATTGAAATATAGATAGAATAAGAATAATTACAATTAAAAAGTCATCAGGCCATGCCAAAAAGTCATCAGGCCAATAAACTAAGGAAATCCAATTAGCCTCAGCAACCGCCAGTAAAGGGGTCATTTAGTCAATTATTTGGATAGTGTGGGCTTCAGACGTGCATGTCACAAAAATTTCGAACGGTTTACGATTGCGCACATAATGTTACCAACTTTCCATTCAGCGGTCACTTGAGAAATCTACCGTATGATATATCATAAACAGTATAACCCTGCCTCACAAACGTCGTGTTTTACGACCATACCGCATTGCGAGCTGTTCGATCGGAAAAAAATGCGCTCCGCTGTGCCAAACACGGTACGGCGATGTACTAGGTCATGAGAGAATTCTTGATACTGCGTCACCAGCATGAACAATAGTCGAGTCGCACCCTAGATTTTAATGCTGAGTTCTGACTTCAACACTATAAAAATGTGCTGAAAAGGAAACCAGCGATAAGTTTGTTGTGCATGAGGCCTTCCGAATTCAGCGCCTGCCTGCCTAGCTCCTTCAAACAACAAAATTTAATGTTTTCAAAAGTGAAGTTGGGCCCATATCAACTGAAGATATTGGCATTGATTGCTTCATAAGATCTTAATTACTACTCTTGAAAAATGTTAAAAATTACTACTCTTGGTCAAAAATGTTAATGAAAAAAGGTAGCCGAAGCACCATAACGAAGTGGAGAATCAGCAGCCTGGTTAAGAACAAATAAAAGTAGTATTGGTTCGCAGTGCAGGGAAAATTGGCTGTTATTCGTGATAGTACTGGAGTTAAAAGCTGGTCATAACAGTCTTGAATTCAAAGGAATGAGTGACAGTTACAAAAGTTTGCAGTCTCTCTCTCCAATTCTCACCGTAACAACGTTACGTACGTGTTAAAATCAGGGTTTGAGCCAAGCTATCGAAGATAAGAAGCTACACGGAGCCAAAAAAACAAAAAAACAATGCGGTTTAACACTTGCTTTGTACAGCAAGTATACAGTAATAATAATTGAATGAGTGAACACCAGGGGCTAAAACATTCACTTAGATATACTAAACAAAATTAAAACACATTTGCCCAAACTCAAATAAGGAACAGAAAAGCAAGATTATCGTAATTTGCAAGATGAAACAAAGATTAGATCCTCATAGTCGTGAGGAAGGTACAATAATAATCCAGTTAGCTAAACGTATACGATCTCGCATTCAAACAAGATAAAAGCGAGCAGCATATGTAAAATAATTAACTTGATTGAAAAAAATTTTAACAGGGCTAGGTTTAATCATCATTATACACTTTTTGTGTGTTTCATGTTATATCTAATGAAAATATTTCAGACTATTTTGAGTCCAGCATATACGTGAAAGCGGTGAGTTTGGGGAGGCCTAACACATCGAAATCTTTTCCATTAATCTCTATTTTAAAAATATATCGGCTTTAGGAAACGAACCAAATTCCTGCAAGAATATAGTTCGTGAGGCTGGATTCCTCTGTAGGTATTTATAATATATGAAACCCCGTAGCCTGTATTTTGACTGCATGGTTGCTATAGTCAGAAGGGAAAGCATGACAGTGACTCGCGGAGCAATGTTTCAATATTTCGCCAAACAATTTTTGAAGACTTGCTTCAATATCGTACATTGGTCACTGTCATTAGCGCGAGAAGCCCGAGGCCGTGCAACCAACATACTTTCTCTTAATGGAATGTGCATAGTTGATTCCAAACTCACTTCTCACGAGCCTGGCGATAATGAAGTCTCATCAGCGACCAAAGAATCGACTTGCTATTTCACGTTCCCTATTTTTTGTAGCATGATACCATGGCGAAGCGTTCTGTCCTTAGCTGGAAGGAACGATTATTTTATGATTTGGAAAAATATGAATTTAATTATTTTACAAATTTACGATAACCATTACATTCACAATCATAATATTCTTTTCTTCAAGACCACTTCATTGCATGGCAGCCTATATGATCCAGAAAATGTTCAGCACAAGCAATTACACAAAGAGTATGATTTGTGAAATTTTCTGTTAGATATATATGTCTTGGAAATATCATCAATTACAAATGTGTTATTAACATTATAAAAACGAAATTTAAAATGTTACTGTCCTATTTGCATTAAGTGGAAATCAAAATTGAAGCAATTATAAATATAGAGCGTAATACAATCGTCAACATTATTTGTTGCAATGTTTTCCATATTTTTTGTTCATTTTTTCCATTATATAGTATAATTTTCCTTACATATATTCTACAATTCAATTCGAAAACATCATTAACAAAAATATTTAACGTTTTTTAGGTTTGTATATTAATGAAAATAGATTGAAAATGACACACGGTGTGACGATGTTGGAAAGTAATTTATGAGCCGTATTTTACATTTGTTTCGTTAATTACGTCAAACGAATCAAAAATTTTAAAATCTTGATGATTTCTCGATAATCTGCGTCATTTTGTTGGGGTCATGGAGACACTACAAATTATTGTACAGCTGGATGCGTATCCACGATACCAGTTATCAGTCAAACTGACGTAGGTACTGGAATGCAGTTTATAAAATGTCACATTTATACAAGTACGATTGAAATTTCGATTTTTTAGTGAAATTTCCAGGGAGTTGAAAATTTTACGGATTAATTTGGTAGATCAAAAAAAGGTTTCATAAATTAAATGAATAAAGTACTGGTATCAGAATGTAATTATAAAATGCCAGTTTCAGAATGTAATTATGTATGGTAGATTTCAGAAAGATTTTTTATGTGAACTGCCAGGTGTAAAATGCGGGCGCTGCTGCTGGCGGTGACTCTGCATGGGGCCCTGGCAGCTCAAGTGCTCCCCGGGAACAAATACTTTGCCCTCCAAGACAAGAGACTGGACGCCGCATCCGTCACCTCGTATCGCCTCACACCCAACCTCTGTGAGTTATACTATAGTAAAATATTTATTGTTTGCATCGCCAGACACTTCCCTCGCCGTTGGAGTGCAGATAAAATGGACACGCCTTTTAAACATGTTGTTCGAGTGTTTAACTCAGTTCAAGTTACGATGGTGAGGAGAACTTGATTTGTCTCGTGTAGATTCGGCAAATTAGGTTCGTGGTGGATTAACATCGGAAAATGAAGCTACTATGCAGCACGTGAGAAAATATGATTTTTGGGTCGCCGTCGCATACTCTGGTCATCCAGGAAGTGGTAGGCAATCATATTTTAATTTTTTATGCGTGAAGCGCACGATACGAAGATAGCAATTATGCGATGTGACACATGTCTTTCTGGTAGTTCGTATTGCCGTATTTAAAGCAGAATTCCTGATATCTGCGAGCGAGTGTCAAATCACAGAATCGTATCATGGCCAGTGTTTGGCCGCATAGTTGGAGCTCATAAACTTGCTGATTTCGTTCAAATTAAAATACATCTGCGATTTACATATATGTTTGAAGACGAACCATGAATGATATTTGAAAATATATGGTAAATGCCGCAGTATTGTGTTTAATCACATTATAATAGACAGTTTCATTCTATAAAAACGTTTTGCGCTGAACTAATGACAAAACTAATTAACGCGGGGCTTGCAGGGAATGATTTTGCCAGGACCATTTGAGTAATCAGAGATTATAGGATTGGCAATGAGCCATGTCTCGCTGAAGGCTAAAATCGGAAAGATTAACTACACTCTGGCAGAGCCTCATTCTGCCTAGAATACAACTTGTACTCTAAATACTTCATGTAATTTATGGCTTAATTGATGCGCTATTAGTCTAACAATCAGTCTCGTGCTGCCAACAATTCTAAATGTCTTCTTCATATGCCTTATAATCAACTGTTGTATATAACTTATAATTATCAGAGTATATGAGGAATGTTATAAATCGTTTCCTCTAAGTGAAATATTGGAAATTCTTAGCATTTCCATTTACATACTAACTGTATACAATCTTTACGCTGTCTGTACAATCTATAACAAAAATAATTTTCCTCTCTTGGTTGGAATGTTCGTTATACAATTAATTCCCATACACTTTTTCCATACTTCCCCCGACTGGAAGTTCCAGATGGTGACTCACGCGTAAGATTCTATATTCATGTGCAGTCATGACTGATCTTCTGAAGAAACGTACCAACTGAAAGGTCATAAATTTGCGCAGGCGTTTTTATAATTTCGTTATAGTATGAAATTTATTTTGCAAGAAGGGTTGGGGGGGGGGTGAAATCGAAAAATTTCCGAAAAATTTACGAAAAATGCTCCCACACCCACAGAAAATGGGAATTTCAAAAAACGCCTAAGCAAAATTGGAGATATGTTTTGTACGCATCGAATGGTATGTGTCTCGATGTTGTAACTTGAAAATCCTATGGGGAGATTTCTACAGATACCTTCTTTTTAGGCCGTTTTTTAAGAATTTCACGTTTTCTTTCATTTTTCTAAAAATTCACATGAAAAAGGCTTACAATTCCGTTTTACATACGTGTATTAAATTTCGAAGAGATCGTAAATAAAAAAGTTATTTTCGGACCAAGACGCTCCCCTTAAAAGATATATAATTGGTGATAAAGTCCTTCACCCCGTATCGCCTGACGCCCAACCTCTATTGAGTTACGTTCTGATATTAACCTCATGTTTGATGTGTGAAGTGAATAAACAAATCAGAAACTTCGTGATGGGTTGAAATTTGTACAAATATGTTTTTGCAAATAAATGTTTATCCTTCACTTCTTGACAATTGGTTAACAGGCGTTTTATACCATTCGAAATTCAGCTCTAAAAATGTTATTTTTGACAAAGGAGTAAATGAATATAAAAAGCAAATATCATTTCAAACTATCAGTTATTTCTAAAACTCTTTCTCATGCAGTCTTCTAAAATAAGCGGAGAAAGCTTCGCGCAATGTAGCGGCATGATTTATCTATAACAAAATCATGAAAAAACTCCACGCACTGCAGTTGGACAAGTGAACGGGAGCAAAATCAAGACAAAATGCAATGGGATGAGTTCAGACTCACGAAATTTGGACAGGTAACTTCATGAAATTCAGCTGAATCTCTAATGCCTAATTTAGTGAACAATCGCTAATTAGGTCATGATACAATCACGTGTCTACTCATCGACGGCGTGCGGGACCGATGATCCAAATTGGGACATTGTTTAGCCTGTCACTTTCATGATTTTACACCAAAGGGACGTCAATGCTGATGGAATAAACTAGTTTTACCTTTAAGAAATTTTTGTATATACTCGAACGAGATCCACTTCTGATCACTCGTGGAATGCAATCAAGTATCACGCGAAACATTGCAGGTCAAGTAATTCTTTTCTCGATGAATACTCAGAATCGTATCATGGCCAGTGTTTGGCCGCATAGTTGGAGCTCATAAACTTGCTGATTTCGTTCAAATTAAAATACATCTGCGATTTACATATATGTTTGAAGACGAACCATGAATGATATTTGAAAATATATGGTAAATGCCGCAGTATTGTGTTTAATCACATTATAATAGACAGTTTCATTCTATAAAAACGTTTTGCGCTGAACTAATGACAAAACTAATTAACGCGGGGCTTGCAGGGAATGATTTTGCCAGGACCATTTGAGTAATCAGAGATTATAGGATTGGCAATGAGCCATGTCTCGCTGAAGGCTAAAATCGGAAAGATTAACTACACTCTGGCAGAGCCTCATTCTGCCTAGAATACAACTTGTACTCTAAATACTTCATGTAATTTATGGCTTAATTGATGCGCTATTAGTCTAACAATCAGTCTCGTGCTGCCAACAATTCTAAATGTCTTCTTCATATGCCTTATAATCAACTGTTGTATATAACTTATAATTATCAGAGTATATGAGGAATGTTATAAATCGTTTCCTCTAAGTGAAATATTGGAAATTCTTAGCATTTCCATTTACATACTAACTGTATACAATCTTTACGCTGTCTGTACAATCTATAACAAAAATAATTTTCCTCTCTTGGTTGGAATGTTCGTTATACAATTAATTCCCATACACTTTTTCCATACTTCCCCCGACTGGAAGTTCCAGATGGTGACTCACGCGTAAGATTCTATATTCATGTGCAGTCATGACTGATCTTCTGAAGAAACGTACCAACTGAAAGGTCATAAATTTGCGCAGGTACGTGCGCTACAGTATGCCGCGTGTCCGCGACGTGCTACGGTGTGGCGTTCGGTGCCATGTACGTCCCTAACCAGACCATCGCCCTCGGCACCCCAAACGTCTGCCACGTCACCACAAAACCTCAGCTACCCATCTACCTTCTGGGCAAAGCGGGCTACAGCTCGTTCATACGTGACACTGGTACAGAAAATTGATAGAGCGATGTCAGAACAAATGAGTATTTTGACAATTGCATTGCTTCTAAAATACATCAAATTGAACTGACATCAAATTGTTAAACCAAATATAAATCAGTCATGAAATTATATTAAATTTTCGATGTAATGTTCAATAGTCTTATGTCACAAGTCACGTCTTTAACTAAATTGGTAATCCACATTGAAGGTTGCGACGAGCTCAAGGGCTACCAGAACCTAGGCGCGGCCGGCTGCATCTGGCTGTCCACCTACACTAGGGGCTGGAATGGAGCGCAAAACGAGTGCCAAGCGAAGGGTGGCCGCTTGGCCGTTCTTGATACGCCTGCCAAGTACAAAGCCGTTGTCGAGACACTCAACTCAACCCGTGAGAAAATAAAGCTTAGTCTATTTACTTCATTTATTCTGGAACTAATCACGAATTGAATCTTATTGTTCAGAGTTTGTTCCTTAGGTAATATAAATGTACTTTTTACTCTACCGGGCATATCAATATTAAAGCTCGACTTAATTAATGTGATTCCAACAGTGACAAGTCTTATGACAAAATCATAAGTTTATTTGAGGATTTTCGGCCGTGTTTTTCTTCTGTGCATTTGAGTCTTGAGGTGAAACGAATAAAGCTGTTTTGCAAGTTGAGAATTTGCAAGTCACGCCAAGTTCGTTCAACGAAGTGCCTATCACGCTTATACTGACGGACGACGTCAGAGTCATGCCACTCTAGAATATAGATCAGAAACATTTAACTGTTTCAATCACGGAACATAGGGAAGCTTTTCTAGCGCCATTACAAGTATGACCGTATTTCAATTCCCTAATCAATACAATCATATTAAATTGTTGCGATAAATTTAATCAATCATTAGTTCATTACTGACTATCTGTTTTGCTTTAATTGAACTGAATATGAGACACATCGACCTTACTGTAATAACAGGCCGTGTAGCGGCTTATAGGGTCTTCACAAAACACCTTCACTGACACAGAATTGCACGTATTTCCTGCCGGACTTACGGTGCATGGATTGAAGATCAGCCCTGGCTGAGGATGGGTCACATGAAGCAGGAATGAAGGCAACAGTCCTCGGGGCGGCTGGTGCAGTAGGCTTTTTTTAAGTCTCCATTAGTGTTTCGCAGAGGAGGTCGTTACGACAAACTAGGTAGAACGTGGGTCCCATGACATTTTATTTCCGGTGAATGCAATATTTAGTCCCACGGGTACACCGTGTCATACAAAAAAAGCTGCTTCTAAGTGTCGTTCAAGTAAGGTCTTCACTTCCATAATAGGCACCCTTTTTTGAAAATTGATAAGAAGTGTGGAAGGAAAACATATACATCGCTAAATCAAGAATGGAAAGGAAGGTATTTTGTTTTGCTTTTCGAATGGAAATATAAATATACCGAAGCAAAGTTAGATTATCAACTTTAAAAGTTTATTTTATTTCTTCATGCCCACAAGGTTGTTCTCTCAAAGATCAACATATTTAATAGAAGTTAGAACATTCGTTCTTCTGACAATATTTTTTAATTTATCGATCTTATCATATAACTTGAGGATTATACATTTCGAAACCTAAATTCTCGATGTTTTCGATGTTTTGTCTCTTCTATTTGAAGTTTTCAGCACACTAGTTAATAAAAAATTAAAATTTCGACATCTTGTACCTCTTCTACAGAACCGCGTCCTAACCATCAGTGGGTGAATGCCCAATATTCACCGTCTGGTTGGAAATGGGAGGGTGGAGCAAGTGTTGCGGGTGTCTGGGCGTCCGGGAAACCAGACGGTGTTTCGTACGCCGACTGTGGCGTGATGAGCAACAACATGAACTTTTTGCTCGATAACACCTACTGCAGCTCCTGGTTTAACTTCGTGTGTCAGATGCCTCCCCAGTTTTGAATTGCAGTACATTATCTTGGGGCTGTACGGCTAAAGAGCTGCAGTGTCGGCATGTAAATGAAATTGAGGATTTCGCTGAATGTGTGTAACTCACAATATTTGAATTGCAACACACGCAAAAAAATAAATTGAAGTTTGATTGATTGTTGATTTTTGCTGTGTTTTCAATTAAATTTTAAAGTCACTTTGACGCTTGCAATGAAGTTTGCAAGCACCACAGTATGAAAATTTACCGGATCATCATTCATCGAGGTATCACTTGCATCCAGCATCATTTGTCTCTTCATTGATCAGAAACGACCAAGAATCGTACTTATATCTGCGTTCCACGAGCGATGGTTCAAATTTGCCATTGCCCGATCATTTTGATCATTAATTAATTTTACGAAATGAAAATTGGGTACAGATAATTGAAAAATACATGAAATGCCGATGAAATAAATAAGCACAATTTGGTGTTTATCGTCACTTTTCTTCCTAAGCACTGATTTGAACATACAATTATGTCAATAAATAATCATAAAAAATTAGTCATTACATTTTTCTATGTTATGATTAGGTAAATGCTCGAACATGCATGTCAACTATTTGTGATTCTAAATTTATTCCATTAAGTACCGCATTGTTGAATATTTTATCTTTTCTTAACATAAATGATTACTCTACAAATATTTATAACATTTGATCGACTGTAATTTTGGAATATTCGAAGCTTATATTTAATTCATTATTTGGCGTTAATTAAATATTATATAATTATCTTCATTTGTTCAGAATATTCTATAGAGCTCGTTTCAATATGTATTCACTTCTTATTCAAAAAGTACGTCGCTTCCCGCACGTAGAACCAATAATAATATTATTATTATTAGACCGAATTTTATCGCTCAAAGTTTGAAATTATATGGAATGAAATATATTATAGAAACAATACACACACCAGAAAAATAGATGTGAATTTATTGTCTATGTTTACAAATTTTACTGGACCTACTAACGATAAAATTTGAGCCGCTGTAGTAATAGTAGTAGTAGTATGATGGTTTGCTAGCGCTTCAGCTATCAAGCTATTTCGCACCGGAGGTCAAAATATAACATCGCCAGCAAGGCGGAAGGTCTCAGTTATTCAAAATCTCAAGTTAATCATCACCCACAAGGGGCGGAAGGTCTCAATTGGCCCGCCCGATGAAGCTGGCTCGAAGGAAGCAGCGTTAGCATCTCAAAGAGACGAAGTGACAAGGAGGGACAGGTGAAAAGCAACAGAAACTAAGACACTCGTACAAGAGGTCGCTTACACGGGACGTCGGCCGCCCGCACGAGAGAGACAGAGAAAGGAAATGTGAGGAATCCTACCTACATAATAACTTAACCCCACAACTGAGACCCGCAGTCAGACACCGCGAGCTCAGCGGTGGGGCGTTCAGGAACAATCCCCCTAGGAACGTGAAATCCCATAGGACCTCTGACGAGCACAGACACGCGTCAGAAGTCCCCCCTGAGGGGTTGAGCCGCTGGATTCATTGTTATTATTGAAATAATTTGTGGTCATTATACAGCAACACTTGTCACCAAACTAGCATGCAGGTCAATGAAGCTGTCGGAGTCACTTGTTGAGTGCAAGCTTTACTACGTGGAAACTTGCTTGTTAAATAGATACATGAATATACAAATTTATTGTTGGATCTTGCAGAAAGCGGTACAGAATTATAATGGTTTGATATATAATAATCAGACGGGGCTTAGTTTAGGTATCATACGGTGATACCTACTCGTGGAAAGTAGGTCAACCGTTGATGTTGATCGACAGATTAATCGTAACCTGATTCATAAGTCTAATTTTCACGTTCAGCAGGCAAGAAGAGACCTGAGATTTAGTTCAGTAATTAGGTGAGCTAATATATACACGCATTTGAATGGGTGCTAGGAAAATCTTAGGCTCTTAGTTCACAAAAAGGCTAGTTGGACCATTGTCCAACTAGCCTTTTTGTGAACTAAGAATATTTTTGGCATATATATATTAAAACGGAAAAAGTAGTGAACCATAACAGAATATTCAGAATTAACAACTAATTTCCTAATTTATGTGTTATGCAGTATACGCTTCTCAGAGAAATGATTTGTTATAATTATATTGCCTTTTAATATTATTTTTTTTCCTCAATTGATCAAATAAATCTTTTTGTAGGTGAATGTTCTATTATGAGGTTCCCATGAGACATTCTATTACAATATTACCACGTTTCGAATGAACATTATTAATTATCGAGTTAAGTGAAGGTTTTGCACGCTCAACGTTAAAAGTTTGGAATGACATGACAATGCAAAAATTAGGTATATAGCATTAGTATGGGATGACAGAATTAGTTTGAACAATTACGATTGAAGACAACCGAGAGAGCTTCGTTTACAGTTTACTTGTTTGTTTTTTCAAGAAATCTAACGATATTTTCCATGAGAATTAGTAGTTGGGAAATAGGTTAAGGAAACAATTTAATACGCTAATGTCGATCAATTAGAATGTTATCATATGCATTATCAATTTTTGAGGCGCATTGACTAATGGAATTTTGATCGACACAAGTGCACAAAGAATAATAGTCAGGAATCGAAACTGAAAATTACTTCGAAATTAATTTCAAAGATTTCACAATTTTCATATGCATTAAATATTATGGATGCAACTCGTAAACTAATACCTAAAATTACTTTGTAAATAACTTTAAAGTCATGACAAATCTAGTCCTCAACATCAGGAATGAGTCTCCAGCTATCAATAAATCACTGTTTTTGTCAGTGCATTTGAATTATTTTCAGAGCTATTTTGTGTTTTCATTTTTAAGCTAATGTTAGAATCGTTAGGTAGATGATTTCTTTAAGGCAGGTCTCGTAGAAAAGCAGAGAGTACTGTACTGTACACTACAGTAAAGTACAGTTCAGTACAGTACAGTACAGTATAGTACACTACAGGACAGTCTATGACGATCTCGCATTAACAAGATCTTATAAAATGATACGTCGAAAAAAATAGTCGCACTAGAATCAAAATCCCCACGGTTGCTTTTAATTGCCTAAATATCTCTTTCACGACAGTCAAAGAGTTAACTCCGCTGAAAATCATAGTTCCGTACCAGGTTATGCTATGTTACACATGAGTGTTTCCAGAGGTGGGCAGTATCCAAGTGATTAGGTACTTTATAGAAACTGAGCAAGTTAGCGTACGTGTTTTAAAAAGTTCATTTTTTAAAAAAGAAGTTTTTAAACTTCTGAACTTCTTAAAAGAAGTTCATTTTTTGCCTCAAATAACGATGTTGGATAGAAAAAGTGGTCTTGGTGGATCGAAATAATATAGCGCGCTACATGTAGCGCCGCTACTAGCGCCGCTACATTTTCAGTAGCGGTAGCGGTAGCGGCTCTACATTTAAGGCAATGTAGCGGTAGCGGTAGCGCCCGCTACATATTTAAGCAACGATACGAGGTTTTGCCGCTACAGCGCTACCGCTACATTTATATTGCTCTGCTTCAGTAGTTATGAAAAACGGTGACCCTTCAAAGAACTTTAACATGATGTTCTAAATAAGCTAATGTGTTTAGAAGATAAACATTAATAGCCATTGTTTCGTTGGCTCAACGGGCTCGTAATTGTGGGCTAATTTTACGTAATGAGTTAATTTGCGAGGTGGATTTATCAGCAAATCGGTTTGATAATCAGCACTGAATAAATCAGGAGCCACCTACCCAAACTCAAAGACACGAGGTAATTCCATAACGGAAAGGAGAATATTTTAAATTCTTCATCAAAAAGAGACTAAAAATTTGTTGCAAAATAAAGTAAAATGAAAATTGGACCGTCAAATTTTTTAATGTGATAAAAAATTCTTATAATAATAATTATGGAAAACCAATACCAGTCTATAATTAGGCCATTGAATTAGCCTGCGATGTTACTTTGCCCTTAAACTTCGTAGGACGCGGTAAGGTGTGAAAAAAACCATCCATTTTCAAACTATTGTATTATCATTTACAGCTAACGTGAATTGTCACAAATTGTTGAACGAACATCAGCCAACTACAAAAAATGGTAAAGGAATCGGATGCCGAGTAAAGCATTCGCAAAGTGCGTACTAATTATTAATATTATCTATCAATCCCTGGCTGAAAATTACAGATGGTTTATACTTCGCCTAGCAACGGTTAGCCCCTTAAAGAAAATCTGGGCCGAAATTTGGGAGGCCACAAAGGTCCCCCAATGCACTATGGGGCCTATAAACGTGCCACCGTAATTGCGCCACAGCAATCGTGCCCCAGCAATCATTGATCCAAATGCACGTGCACAGAGAGTAAATTACTTTCATGGCCGAGAATAACAGACAGTTCAGTAGCTTGTGTCTAATGACTTCCCTTCATTTTCCTTCGGATCGTAAGTAACATAATTGTACAGATTTATGCCAATAGGAAGATGGACGCAGTAGAAAACAAGAGACTAAAAATTGCCATTTTCTGCTCAGGCTGAGCAGTCACCATTTATTTCACCAATGACGAGCTGTGTACTAGATTCTAGTCATCGCGTCATCGAGAAGCCCAAAATAACATCTAGCCTGTCATGATGTGCTAGACGCTGCGATTAAGTGCCCAGCACTACAGGAAATTAATCTAGACCAAAATACCGGTATACATCTCTGAAAGTCTGTTTGTGTATTTGCTAGACGTCTTCCCATTTTTTCTGATGCATAGACTACGAGACTGGAGCAGAAATATTCGACGACTGAAACTGCATGTGAAGAACTCATGTTAAAGTCAAGGAAATGCGATATGCAGCCACATTGGCGCAATATATTAAAATGTATTTTGACTGAATGTGTTTTGCCCCGATTTTTTAATATTCAATCAATCAACTACATTTGTAAAATAAGTGTGCTCATTGTGAATTCTGGAATGCTCTTACATTGGTGTCGCACAGTTTCGAGTGAAATAGAAAGGAAAAAATATAAACTACGCCCGAATACCTAATACTCTCATATGAACATAATAATAATGAAACTGTAATCAAATAATGACATGGTCGCGAGATCTACCGAGTGTTACTGAGTACTGAATAATTTTGTAAAAAAATAGAAATTTCCAAATTGCTTGAATCGCTCGAATAACCTTAATTTTTGTTCTTGGATTGGGGTATAGTAGTAGTCAGCTATGATAGTAAGTAAAAACTTCTTATATTAATGTGTGCTACAGCATTTGTGTTTGAAACCATCAAGATTCTAATTTATGCTCATTGATCAATCATAGTTTTGTCTTTGGAATATTTTCATTACCTGTTTATGTTTGCTCTAACTTTAATTAGAAGGCAGACTTCGAAGTACATTATTAGACGCTGCTTTCTACTGTAATCACCTGGTTAAAAATTCAAAATTCATCACCTCATTGGCGAAAAGAAGTTCTCCTAAATTAGCTTAACTTCTTAATGGCAATTTAGTCTGCACTTCTTTCGATTTCACGTGTTTTCCAAAAACAGCTCATTAATCGCCTCTTAAATTTGCATCTATGCGGCAAAAATTTTCAACTTGGTACGAAGTATGAACTACATTGGAATAGTGTCTAGGAATTTAGTTATTAAAGAAACATCGTGATTCTTATTTACTTGAAGTCATGGCCTTTTGTTTGCTTGGAATAACATCAACCCTGTTGGTGGATCCCGTCGTATACTTGCGGGAATTCAGAAGCGACCACTGAATTGCAATTTAATTTTTCTGTCGAGGTGTGTGCATAATTTATCGGATTTCTTACTTAGATACATTGGTCAATTGATCTGTATTACTTATAACTCTTCCATAGTTGTACACAGGATATTGTTCTAGTAACATTATGAGGGTAATTCAGATATTGTAATAAATTCACTACTTGTAGAAGTTTACACGGAAAAATTTATTGTGGTACTAAACATGACTTATCAAGATGATGACGTTTAGATGTTAAATGCAATTCTTAACTTGTAAGGCCTATATATAATACTGTTATGATATATATAGTATATAGTTGTATACATACATTATATATACATTATTATATATAATGTATATATATACATATACAGTATATATAATATATATAATGATATAGTTGATGAGCTGCCATTACAAAATTTATTTTTATCTGACACACGTCTAAACTTGTATGGCATTTAGTTGATGAATTGCCATTCAAAAATTGGCATTCATCTGACACACGAAGTGGTGCTTCTTATCACACTTCTCGTTATCCAGCAGGAAGCCTTTGTCTCTGTTCATGATCCCGCAATTGCCCCCTGAACCATCAGGTTCACCGGGCGCCCAGATTTCTTTCACGGCAGCTCCTCCTGACCATTGCCAGTAGTATAGCCCCGGCCAAGTCAACCACCATGGATAAAAAGCATCCACGAAGTGATGATCGGGCTTCTTTTCTGTTGAGGATAGAAGTTAGTATCGAAATTATTAATAAATTAATATCATACGGCAGAAAACTGATAACTTCGAACTCTGTTACGTAGTAGTTTGAAACGTATTGTATTTAAAAAATTACGAAATTCATAAAATCAAAGGATAAATATCACTGGGCAAACATTTCAGAAACCACATCTTGGGGCAGTCGATCCTCCATTATGCAGCGCATTCTGCCGATAAAGAGCTGAGAGATTACTATAGTGGGGGGTTTTGAATGTAATCCTATTTATATAATGAACGCGTGCTTTTGTCGTCCTTTGGAATGCATGTATTCGTTGTAGTTGGTGATGACAGCTCCAACGCCTGCCGGAGGCCCGACGGCTCTGGTGACCAACTTGGATGGGTTTACGCATAAGAAATAGTCGTATAAAAGGACGGAAAGAGAAGGGGCTCCGGAATCAAGAAAACAGCAGAAGAAAAAGGAAAAAGGTTCGGGGAGGTCTGAGGTTCCAGACCCCTGGAATGAAAAGTATAGAACGCGCTCCCGCGCCCTAGCTTGGTGATGGCTAGTAATTTAAGTCTCCCCACCAGACGAATGGCACTGAAACAATGTTGTTTTAACAACGTTGAATCAACGAAAGAAGATTTAATCTAACGTGGATTCAAATTCAACGTCAGTTGTCTGGTGGGTGCGCCGTTTGGCCTTATGCGCGAGGCTTGTCAGAAACTCGGAGAATCACGCAGGTCAGGATACTTCCGCAACGAAGACGATCCAGGAATCGTGGGTCATTGGTTCGTCGTTAATTATAAAACGCGTATGTTCGTTTTGAATTCAATCATGTGCATTCATTGTCAATTGCAACGTGTTCGTTGTTGCCACTGGAATCGCGTATTTTCTTCGTCAGTTGGAATGCGCAAGTACGTAGTCAGTTGCAATGTTTTAGCTCATCGATCGTGCAGTTCGTCGTCATACTCGTTCGTCGGTAGGTGAACCCTGGGGTCATTCGGCATAAACAACGAGTAGCCCGTTTATGGCGAGAAAACTGGAATGGTGGATTGAAGAATACATCGATTGACCTAATTCCCGGTCCACTTGGTTTTGTACATGGCATGCCAAGCCATGTACCTGCCTCATTGTGCGGACTTAGGAATGTATAAAATGAGGAACAAAGCTCATTTCGCTCGACATGAACTGGAAATATAGGCCACAGCCATGTGTAAGGTATGTCGAGTGTTCTCTTCCCAATAAAATTATTCCAGTGGAAAGAATAGCTCGGGGAACAATATCTAGAATGATGTGTCTAAGCGAAACGTGTGCGTGAACTATGAAGTCAGGTGATAGATTTCCTCCTCACTCTTTTAAGAGAATCTCTGCTGCGTTAGGCGCATTATTAAAATTGAATTAACTAATACGATTCCCAGCCTAACAAATCCATTTATGAACTATGTAACTCACTCTTCTGGATTACGTGTTCATAAGCAGTACACCTTTAAATGAATACACACAGCTTTTGCTCACTTATTGCTTCCAGTCGCTTGACAACGGCGTCGTACTTGGCAGGCGTGTCAAGAATGGCCAGGCGACCACCCGTGTCACTGCAGGCGTCCTGCGCGGCGCCCCTGGCCAGGCTGTAGTCGGACAGCCAGATGCAGCCCGGCGGGCCCAGGTTCTCGTAGCCATGTTGGGCGTCGCAACCTTCATTATAAAACCGAGACAAATTTTTAGCCAAGCAAATTTAAAAATTTTAATTGTCGAATATTTCATTGCAATGATCGAATCGCTTTTCACCCTTTGTTTCGAGTTGTGTATTTTAATATCATACCAAATATATTGGGAGAAACAAGTTAAGGACTAGGTGCATATTTCTAAGGACATCTGAAGGATTTTGATAGGTTCTAATCCAGCTGTGGAATTATCTGGATTTAAATTCCAGCGTCGTTACAACCTCTCTACAACCTCTCCGAAAATGAAGTTATGGGGATGCAAATTCATATAGTAAACTGTTGAACATTTACAGCGGCGAATCAGAAAAGTTCAAAACTATTTTCGGGAGATGCTATTGTAACCCAATTTACTAATAATTCTGAACTGATGTAAATGCCAAAATATTTACTCATTCTAAATTTTATGCTAACACTTATAATTGAATTTGTGCGATGAAAATATCTCTTTCTGAACTTTGAGTAAAAGCCGTTAACAAATTTTTGCTGTGAGCGAACATTGAAATTTTTCGAGCGAGTTTGAGTATTACTCTCATTTTGAAGCAGAATTAAGTGCCGAAAAATTAAAATACCCTGTTTACTCTTGAATTGAATCTGCAAGTGAATTACGAAAAGTTTTGTATCTCGCAATTTCTGATGGGTAAATAAAGTAATCTCGATAGTTAACTTGAATATCGTTATCCTAAATCGCTCCAAATTGGAAGAAACGAGCACTCGTCCAGCCTTCATCTACACACAATTTAACAAAAGTTGGAAATCACTTATAACTGTTTGTGAATTTTTCGTCCTGCATTCAATAACCCAACTAAATTGTGGCGAACCATTTTATTAGGCTCAAGGAAACAGCTTCTTTAGGTTTAATATTGAACGCACACAGCAAACATTCCAACATTGCCGCTGAACAGTTCATTTGCGACTCCTTATGTATATATATTTAGTGAATTGATAGTCCACTTCGCTGTCTATAATGGTTCCGTGCACAAGTCTAATGAACTTTCTAAGTATCCCCGTTCAGTAACGCTCTAGTACTACTTACTGGAGTCAACAACTATCATGCATATCAGTGTTCCATACCTAAGTCTTCTTATCATTGTTACTTACTTGAGTCGCGTATAAACGAGACATAGCCCGTTTGGTCCACGAGGTAGACCGGCACCTGGGGTTGTGTGGTGACGTGGCAGACGTTTGGGGTGCCGAGGGCGATGGTCTGGTTAGGGACGTACATGGCACCGAACGCCACACCGTAGCACGTCGCGTCTTTTCATTACCTCCTGGCTTCGTTCTGCGAACCAATTCTCTTTGCGGAACCACAATAAAAGTTTCAACGCTTTCTTTGTTTTTTGCTTTTCCAACTGTACCAAAATTCAATATGAGTTTGAATATCACACTCTCATTTAGAAGCAGAATTAAGTGCTGTAAAAATTAAAATACCCTTAATACCCACGAATTAAATCTTTAAGTGAATTATGAAATGTTTCTTATCTCGCAATTTCTGATGAGTAAATAAAGTAACCTCGATAGTTAACTTGAATATCGTTTTCCTGAAATCGCTGAAAATTGGAAGAAATGAGCACTCATCGAGCCTTCATTTAAACACAATGTAACAAAAGTAGGAAGTCACTTTTAACTGTTATGTGTATTTCTCATCCTGCATTCAATAACCCAACTAAACTGTGGGGATCCACTTTATTAGGCTCACGGAAACTGCTTCTTTAGGTTAAATGTTAAGCGCACAAAGCAAACATTCCAAGATTACCACTGAACTGTCTAATTGACGAATAATATTGTAGACCACTCCGCTGTCTATAATTGTTCCGTGCAAAAGTCTCATGAGCTTTGTAAGTGCTACAAACGTTCAGTAACGTTTTAGTACTACATACGGACTGGAGTCAACAACTATCCTGCGTATCAGTGTTCCATACCGTAGTCTACGTATCATTGTTACTTACTTGTGTCACGTATGAGTGAGACATAACCCGCTTGGGCTGAGAGGTGGACCGGCATCTGGGGTTGAGTGGTGACGTGGCAGACGTTTGGGGTGCCGAGGGCGATGGTCTGGTTAGGGACGTACATGGCACCGAACGCCACACCGTAGCACGTCGCGGACACGCGGCATACTGCCGTGCACGCACCTGCAATTTGATCAGATAGTTCGTACGGTAGTTCAGTCACAAAACATTTTAAGACTATGAGCAATGCATTGCATGTAAAAGTCACAAACACAGACTTATTGACAATGCGTAGTTTGCTTTCTTCATAGTTTGACATTCAGTTGAAGAATAAACTGATACGGTTAGTTCTTTATTTATATTCGATTTTCAACGCCGTGTGAGTAGACAAAATTTCTTGTAATCAAAAGCAATCAGTTATTCTATTCAATCCGTGAATTAAGTGTTCTGTGGAGATGATGTATGATGATGCATGGACTTCGTGACCCTGCCTTTGATTGATAGCATCAAAACAAGCATTCAATTATGCCTCTACTTTCCTTCTATCCTTACTTTTAAGCTCAATTATCTTTTCCTCAGAGAAATTGTTCCGAATGTTTTATCACAAAATGTGGCAACTCCACAACCATGACAATGAAATAAAAAACTCTGACTACGGCATTCGTCGCGCTCGTTAATTCTATTCATAGATCTTGCTCAATAATTAGGAATCGCAAATAGATAATACTTGGCAAAAAATTGGCGAGCGTTTTATTGAAAATCTGGGCTGACTTTTCGCCTATCATTACGCTACTGAACAAAAGGTTTGTCATGTTTGGATGCGCGCCGAGCATAAATCTAGCTTTGTATAAGACGACGGTATTCACCATCATGATGAGGCCTGACAGATTGTTCAGTAGTCTTGTCCGAATGACCTCACTCCATCATCGTATCATACCCATCATCAATGAGTAAATTGCGAAAATGATTGGGAATATCATGATGGGAGCATTCTGATGCAATATTTTAGCAAATTTATACGAAAAGCGCAAACAATGTGCCTCATGCGGATCTTTTATTTCCTGAAGAATTCTTTTCTAGCTTGCCATGATAGACAAAATGCCTTTGTAATCTGAAGAGATATATAAAGTTTATACATGAATTTGCAAGATATCAATCTTTATTCAATCAATCAACACTTGACGTATCAGAATATTTGAACCTGTGCTGCAAGTGTCAAAAGTGTGCCCCTCTTCACACAGCTTTTCATATGGCGCGTGAAGTCCAAGCTTTGGTGCGTCCATTACGCCTTATCAGAACGTAATGCAGTTCTACCAGGAAATTTTGAATTTTTCAGGGAGAATTTACTCGACTAAAATAAATCAAAGCTACTTATACTTACTCGTATGAAGGCAAAAGCTAGGTGCTTGTGACTTACCTATTTACTCTTTCAGAATGAATGATGCAAAATTTACTGTTTCTTATTAGCGTCATGGGACTCATGATTTAATGTGGGGAGAGCGATTGAGTGATGTGAACTATAAGCAGCTAAATTGGTGAGTGCAAGGACGATCATGTTGTTGGTTGAATGCGTAATAATTTTACCTTTAAATAATTAGTTGCCGTTTCAGAAGGAAGGTAAATATAATATGCACCTATAAATCAAAAACTAAGAGGCAAATCTGAAAGCTGTTTCATAATCGTAGAATACTGATTTACAATTCAAATGCGAAGTGAAATGATCATTGTCGACTTGTAACTCACAGAGGTTGGGTGTGAGGCGATAAGAGGTGACAGATGCGGCGTCCAGTCTCTTGTCTTGGAGGGCAAAGTATTTGTTCTTGGGGTGCACTTGAGCTGCCATTAAGACCCCATGCAGCGTCACCAGCAGCAGCAGCGCACGCATTTCAAACCTGTCGACACTTCACATACATCATCTATAGTGTATTCCAGTACGTTAGCCAGTAGCTTTGTATCTTGGTACCATGCAGCCATGGTATGCAAGTTCACAATGCCTTTCGTAATGCCCAAATTTTATCAAAATGTCGAAACATCGTCAAGACTTGAAACTGAATGTTTCATTTGAGGCACGTTCACAAAATACATCTCAATAATTAAATCTCGTTCAACCTTTGGCGAATTGAAATTACTTACCCTAAGAAAAATGCTTCATACAACGATTTACACCTCGAAGTTTGTGGTTGTATTATTTTTTTAATTAGGTTTGTCAATCAAAAGTGCAGATCGAGGCGTTTAATCCTCCATTTCACCCTTAATCTTTCTTTACCTCCGCTAAAGTGTACAGGAAATGTACATCTATATTCTTATTTAAAGCAATTTTATGTTGTTATTAAATGAGATTTGATCATAAAAATAGTAAGATTACCTCATGGGGAGGTTGTTAAACACAAATAGTTGTGTGATTCTTGAGATAATGTCAAGATCGTGGACTGTCATACTTCTGAATAAAAAATTCAAGTAAATCATGACAAATCTTTTGTTTTACCAGCGTGATATCAGAATTTCTACGACAACAATTAATTTGTTTAAAATCGCCTATAGCTCACCACATCATCGATGGATGCCCTAGCGGTCCCGAATGCTTTCAGCTTCTCTGCCTTCGAAACTCGTGAGCCTGAAATGGTCTTGGCGGCAGATGGACCGACTACACGTTCAGTACCGCCCTCGAATACAGCTGGGACACGTCTGAGGCCCTCGGATCAAACGCGCCTCACATTCTTTGTGACAAGTTGCTTTAACGGTCCCGAATGATCTCAGCTTCTCTGCCTTCGAAACTCGTGAGCCTGAAATGGTCTAGGCGGCAGATGGACCGACTACACGTTCAGTACCGCCCTCGACTACAGCTGGGACACGTCTGATGCCCTCGGTGCAAACGCGCCTCACATTCTTTGTGACAATGTTTTTGAGAATAGACCCAGTAATGGAGATTTACAAGAACCATCGTCATTTATAACAATTTGCAACTACGAGACTATATATAGTCCGGATGTTGAAATTGTTTTCAGAGAAATTTTAAATTTTAATTTCCGAGTATTATCCATAATACCTAACGTTTGTACTTATGCATGTCATCCCAAAATGTCAGTTTTAGGCGTTGAAAAACCATCTTTTTACCCGAATGAATTCTGATTGAAGAATGCTTCATCGAAACGTCGTAGAAATAAAATAAAATGTTCCATGGAAATGTTATTTCCGAAATTTTATATTAACTAAAAGTCAAATTTGCAACAAAGTAAAAACAATAAATTAATAATTAAATAATCAAATTGTCGAGATTTTTATACGGTATATTAACATAACATAACATAGTGATGTCGGCGCTGAAGTGTAGGTCTGATGTGGCCTGTCGCCGATTCTTTTCCATTTCATGCCTTGTTCACAGAAGATCTAAACTCGTGTCATTTGACCGGATCTTTTCATGACTGGCGATAGTTTGAAGTAGCTACTAGACTTCCACCGGGTTCGATAAGGAGCTAGGCATTTCAAATCTGAACATATATTTTTCCATAGCTTTATCTAGTCTGTTCTTGAACGCGTTCATACCNAAAACAATTATTAGTGGGTGTTTCTGAAGCTTGGCGCAGTAAACGCGAGGCGTGTCTTCAAAGTAAGTCCCGTTTTTATATATAAAACAACAAATACTTTTTTCTAAAAAACAATTTTTTTTCTAAATTGTTTTTTCCAAAAAACAATTATTAGTGGGTGTTTCTGAAGCTTGGCGCAGTAAACGCGAGGCGTGTCTTCAAAGTAAGTCCCGTTTTTATATATAAAACAACAAATACTTTTTTCTAAAAAACAATTTTTTTTCTAAATTGTTTTTTCCAAAAAACAATTATTAGTGGGTGTTTCTGAAGCTTGGCGCAGTAAACGCGAGGCGTGTCTTCAAAGTAAGTCCCGTTTTTATATATAAAACAACAAATACTTTTTTCTAAAAAACAATTTTTTTTCTAAATTGTTTTTTCCAAAAAACAATTATTAGTGGGTGTTTCTGAAGCTTGGCGCAGTAAACGCGAGGCGTGTCTTCAAAGTAAGTCCCGTTTTTATATATAAAACAACAAATACTTTTTTCTAAAAAACAATTTTTTTTCTAAATTGTTTTTTCCAAAAAACAATTATTAGTGGGTGTTTCTGAAGCTTGGCGCAGTAAACGCGAGGCGTGTCTTCAAAGTAAGTCCCGTTTTTATATATAAAACAACAAATACTTTTTTCTAAAAAACAATTTTTTTTCTAAATTGTTTTTTCCAAAAAACAATTATTAGTGGGTGTTTTTGAAGCTTGGCGCAGTAAACGCGAGGCGTGTCTTCAAAGTATGTCCCGTTTTTATATATAAAACAACAAATACTTTTTTCTAAAAAACAATTTATTCAATTGAAAGGCGATATTACTTTTCTACATTTTCCCATCAATATTGAGGCATTTATATGTCTATGGACCAGCTTTTGCATGCCATCCCATAAGAAGCTCGCCGCCTGATATTAGACCATTTCGTGAAGAACACTTCTTGAGAAAACAAGTATAACTTTTCAGCAAAAGAAGAAATCGGGAATCTTCTGTTCTCCTTCACTTTACAATTCAATTTTTTAATCAGATCATCGGCAATGACAGAAGGTCTCCCACTTCGTTTCCTAATCATGAATGTCTATGCGGCCATCTTTAAATGTCTTAACGGCTTAACCCATTTCCTAACCCTTCCATCATTCATAATGTTTTCACCACACACTTCACTAATTTGTCTATGAATGTTAATAGAATTGAAGACTTGAGCACCGAGAAACGCACGTAAATCGCAGCTGACGGGATTTTCAATAGGTGGACACATTTTAATGGGTGGATTGAAACAGACGTATAATTGATCGGATTGTTGATCGATTGTTAAGGCTTTGATTAAAGCTTGAAATTTGATGTAGTCATTGAGAAATATAAACTTCATCAAAAGAGGCAAAATTGTCTATTCCATATTTTGAACAGATATTGAAATGGAAATCCAATTTTCTGTGAAAGATGTGTGTTTGAAGGGGTCTTTATTAATTGGAATACATAAACTTTAATTATTTGTACATAAATAGGAATTAAGAGAATGACGGGATTTGGATTCTAAAATTGAAAAAATCATCAAGCCGGCCTTGGGCAACGCTAGGCCAACAAACAACCTACTTGTTGATAAAACTTACTTTCTGATCTTTTACGAACCTGACTTTATGAACAGATTCTGCCTAACTAAATTAACATTAACTCAAAATTGAAACACAATATTGCCCTGGAAATAATTCAAATGTACTGATAAATACGTGATTTAAAATTTGATAGCTGGAGACTTGTTCTTGATGTTGAGGACTAGATTTGTCATGACTTTAAAATTATTTTAAGATTAATTTTAGGTATCAGTTCCCGAGTTGAATCCATAATATTTATTGTATATGAAAATTGTGAGATCTAAATTTGAAATTATTTCCGAAGTCATTTCCAGTTTCAATTTTTGACTATTATTCTTTGTGTACTTATGTTGATCAAAATTCCATTATTCAATGAGTCTCAAGAAATGATAATGTATATGATTACATTCGAATCGACGTCAACGTGTTAAAATATTTCCTAAACCAATTTCCCCAACTACTAAAATTCTCATGAAAAATATCGTCAGACTTCTCAAAAAAAAGTTAATTTTGTAGACAAAGCTCATTCGCGTGTCTTCAATCATAATTGTTCAAACTAATTCTGCCATCCTTTACTAATATAATATGTACCTAATTTTTGCATTGCCACGTCATTCTAAAATTTCAATGTTAAGCGTTGCAAAACATTCACTTAATTCGACAATGAATAATGTTTACTCGAAACGAGGTAATATTGTAATAAAATGTTTCATCGGAACCTCATAATAGAAGTTTCACATCCTACAAGAAGTTTTATTTGCTAAATTGAGGACAAGAATACAAAAATAATATTACCAAGCAATATAATTATACAAATCATTTCTCAAATATGAGTTTACTGTAAAACACATAAATTAGGAAATTAGTTGTTAATTCTAATAATTATGATTAGTATTAATTACGATTATTAATTCTATTAATTATGATAATTATTCTAATAATTCTAATTATTATACTAATTTGAGGGCGATGGTCTGGTTAGGGACGTACATGGCACCGAACGCCACACCGTAGCACGTCGCGGACACGCGGCATACTGTAGCGCACGTACCTGCGCGTGATTACTTATAATTTCAAAGAAGTTAAATAACACGCTCGATGTCATACAATTATTTTTGCCCCAATCTGGTTATTTCCATATGAAATTTTCGCAAAGTCACGATTGATTTTATGATAATAAATACTAACATATGATATTTTAAAGAACATCTACCTTCGAAAAACCTTTTCGACTAATTAAAATTAAAAGCTTATAATAAAATTCTGTAAAAAAGTTTGATATTGATTAGTATTTCATTCATTTACTTTTTAAAACATCTAGTATTTTTTTCTCGTGCTTGTGGAATGCGTTTACAGATGAAACATTTTTTAAACTAGCACTATGTTTTTAAAAAATAGGTGCTCTGCTTCAGTAGTTATGAAAAACGGTGACCTGAGAAGGAAGTTCATATTGTTGCTCATTACGCCACAGTCGGCGAACCAAGTACCGTCTGGTTTCCCGGTCGCCCAGACACCCGCAACACTTGCTCCACCTTCCCATTTCCAACCAGACAGCGAGTTCTGCGCATTCACCCACTGATGGTTAGGACGCGGTTCTGTAGAAGAGGTACAAAATGTCGAAACCTTAATTTCTTTTTAATCAGTGTGCTGAAAAATTCAAATGGGACAGACAGAGCATCGAAAACTGTAAGAATCTAATTTTTTAAATGTAAAATCATCAAGGTATATGATATGCTCGATAAATTCAATAATATTGTCAGAAGAACGAAAGTTCTAACTTGTCAACTTTAACGTTTCCGAAGACCTGTCAACGTTAGTAACCCATCTTGAGGCCATGTAAAATTCACGACTATTCCCTTGGCTTACTAACCTTCATATGTATGTTACTAAGTTACCTCGACAAACCTTAATAAATATCGTGAGTGCCCTCCACTCAAGTGAACTGATAGAGTTCACAGTGATGGAAATTGGAATATACGTCCGATCATACTTTGACCTTATTAACTTAACTTTACCAAATTATTTATTATATTATTATTAGGGATTAACTCTACCAAAATATTTTCTTCATATCATATAAGCTATGTCTCGATGGCGTAACGCAAGCATGTGGTGAAAATACACAAGGCATAAAAAATTGCAGGCGCTGAAGTCCAAAGACCGTACACGGTCACTGGAAACTGCGTCCAAGGCACTTACTGATTTTTATTATTAACAGTAATTAAGTCCTCATTCGCAAAAGAAACATGGACACTATCAGATAAAATATTTCCGTTATTGAAGTTAAATTTCTCTTCAAAAAAATAACGGAATTTTCTCACGTTTAGTTCGAAGTCGCTGGGCAACTGCCTCATACTTGGCAGGCGTATCGAGAACGGCCAGTTGACCGCCTTTGGTTTTGCAGTAGTTTTTCGCATCATCCCAGGTCCTCCCGTGATCGGACAGCCACACGCAGCCTGCTGCGCCGAGATTCTCATGACCCAACTGTTCGTTGCAGCCTTCATAGTGAACAGCAAAACATTTGCAAACCATTTATTTGCAAACTCAGAGCTTCGTGCTGTAGCATTTCACGTAGCATTAAGAGATGAGTTTCAGTCAAACTTAATTGTAGGTCAATCTGCATTAACTATATGAGTCCATTTTTATTTGAGGCATTTTAACTAATGGGAATGTATAAATATTAAAATACAATGACATAGCAATAAGCATAAACTTTACTGTTTGAATTAAAGTTATCTCCGCAATCATTGAGAAAAAGTGGAAAAACAGTTCATTCAGTCGAGTCCTTGAAACTTTGATGAACGACTTTGCTATTGAGATGTTGAGAAAATCAACTCTATCTACATTCTGCATAATACAGTAATCTATTGTGGTCCGATCCTAAGCAGTGACGGTCCATTTTAAATGTTTGCTGCACTATTTTAAAGAACTGTCCAATTGTATATTCGTTGTAAACTTGAAGAAACGATAATAATTTATCGAACAATTGTCAACAAATTGTAAACTGATTTATGGAAATCATTGTAACGGTCTATTGTCATTGTCATTGTCACGGTCTATACTTAACAAACCAAACTTATCCATGACGATCTCTTTGAAAAGACGTTTTAAAATGAAACGCACAAAAATAGTCGATGTGTAATAAACGAAAAACGTATATTTTATTCGGCTAAGTAATTTTTACTCATCTGAATATGTTCTACGACAATTGACGAATCATCTCTGCTGCATAACAGTGTTTCGTACCAGTGTCGCGTATAAACGAGCTGCAGCCCGCTTGGTCCAGAAGGTAGATGGGTAACTGAGGTTTTGGGGTGACGTGGCAGACGTTTGGGGTGCCGAGGGCGATGGTCTGGTTAGGGACGTACATGGCACCGAACGCCACACCGTAGCACGTCGCGGACACGCGGCATACCGCCGTGCACGCACCTGCGCGTGATTACCATAGTTATCAAACCATTCCACGCATACGAGTCATAAAACTTTGCATCTATGGTAATTCTGTCCAAAGCAAAACAATGTAATGTAATGATTACACCAAGTATTCAAGCAATTAATAATTAATCTAGCATTAACAGCAGTGATTTGACCTTATCAGGCAGATTGCATTGAAAAAATCACAACGACCATCTATGTATAAACATGTATAGTTTTTGATTATTGAATGAAAATTAATGTTGAATCAAATTTTTGAGTCAATTTTTCTTCTGGTGATAAAAATTTGATCAGGCACCACATTTATGAGAATATTGTGCTTTAAAGTAAATCTAAGAAATTTTTGCCGTTTGAGTTCTTTTGTAAAACTTCCAACCTTATTTCCACGATAGGTCAAGAAAAACTAACGACGTGCTAAGAAGAGAAATTCATAACAGCCGCTTTATAAATTTGGCTCACCGAGCAGGAATTGTGTTTTAATTGGACGTGAGGCGTCCGTTAGTACGGTAGTTAAGTCAAATACTCTGTTTAACTACCAGCAAGGAATCTACGTAATAGTCACCAACCCAAACTAAATTATGTCCAATCCAAAAGCAGGACATAATTTCACATTGATGCAATTATAGATAATCGACACCTGATCTGCAATTTTATGCAGGTATTGACTTATTTACCCTAGTTACGATTACTTGCATGATTATAGGCCTGTGATCAGACCTCGCTCTTCCACCTCTTCTGTGTTTCCTGCAGCAAAACGCAGTATAACGTAAAATAATACTACCCATAGAGCCCTGTGGTTGTAATTTGTAGCTGTAGCGACTTGTCACAAATATTAACGAGCCTCAGCCGACTACATAAACAAAAAGAGTTAATTGAACGTTGACTGAAGCATTCGCCAAGGCGTACACGTACATATTAGTCAATAGATTTTCTTCAATCTTAGCTGTGAGTTGCAAACGGACTATATGTACCAGTACTTCGACCAACTGCTGTGAGTCCCATAATTAACGTGAATCTGACCTGTATTTTGTGTGGCGAACAATAAAGTGCGTCTAAAGTTATCAATTTCGTGCCATGTGCAGCAATCAGGGATCCAAATTCAAGAGAAGAAACTATCGCAATTACCGAGCATGGGAGATTGTTTAGTAGCTTGTGACTAATGACCTCCCTTCATTCCTGCTTCGATCTAAATGGCATAGTTGTACAAATTTATGTCCATGGGAAGATGGGTGCAGGTTGGAACAATATAAAGAGCCGAAAAATTGCAATTTCGTTCACTGGCTGGGCAGACACCGTTTGCAATAATAAACTATATCCTAGATTCTGCATTTCGTATCCATTGAGGAGCACAAAATTCCTTCAAGTGTATCATGATATGAGCTTTGATTGGATAGACACCATTACAGGTAACGAATCGTGAACTGAAGATACCTACTTGGTGAAAGTCTGTGTGTGAGTTTCCTATAGATGCCTTAACAGTTCACTTGATACCTAAGCAACGTCACTTGCACATAAATATGCGATAACTCAGCATATCACAAACTCATGTCAAAATCAATAAAGTAAGATGTAGCCCCATTGGAGCAATAAATTAAAATACATTAATGTGTTTTGCTCAGATTTTCTTAATGTTTAATTAACTTACTTTACATTTGCGGAAGTAGTATGGGCTGATTGTGAATTTTGGAACTCTATTATAGACGAGTCGGAAATTTTTTAATGAAATCTAAGGGTAATTGTAAACTACTGCCTGAATACTTACTCTCACGAACATGTAGGCAAATGATGACATGGACGCTAGAGCTACTGAGTGTTTACGTGAATAGTGAATTGTAAAAAATTTCTAAATTACTTGAACAAATTGAATGATATTGATTCTAGTTCTTCACTATCGTTTGTGGATTGAGGTTTAGTAGGTTTGTTACCTAGGAGACTTGGTGACGATAGCTTTTTCATCTGTGCACCAGCGTTAAGTTTAAGTTAAAGCCATTAACATCATGATTTTCTGTTCGAGTTTTTTAATCATAGGTTTTCTTATGATTACTTTCGTGACCCCGTCCAAGTTTGCTCTAGCTATAATTAAAAGGCAGACTTCAAAGGAATTTATTGGGCACTAGCTCCTACCGAGATCACCTTGGCATGCGCGATTGTTTCTCGTAAGTTCAATGAAGATAAACATGAAATTATTCAGCACATAGCGAAGAGCCGAGTCCTTTCATAAGCTTAGCTTGTCAACGGTATCGGAGCCGGACCTTCTTTCGATTTCTCTCGTTTTTCCCAAAAATGGCTTTTTACTTGTTTTTTAATATTACAAAAGGTTGTAGCTTCTTTGAGATAATGAAGTGTAGCTTCTTCTTAGTACACTGTAAGTTAATTTGCGTAATATCGTGACCTGTTATTTACTTTGAGTTATGGCTTTTCTTTCTCTGGAATATCGTCAACTCAGTTTGTGGAGCCCGTTGTGAACGTTCGTGGGATTCGGTAGCGACAACTAAATTGTTCATTCATGTTTTCTGTTGGGATGTATATTTTATCAGATTTATTTATTAGATATATTAATTACTTTATCTTTACTTATTTACTCTTCCTTAATTATTGAACGCTGTAAGGTTATACTTCATTTTCTACAGTAAAGTTGAAACAGGTTTGTTGGTCTGTGGAGCCAAAGCAACAGTATTGATACCATTGCCTAGACAAACTTTTAATGAACACGGCTTTCTGAACTTTACCTCTTCACACGTGCCATTGATTGTCTAAATTATTAACCTTCATGAGGTTGAACGTATACACTGATCTGCCCCGTTGTCGGGCCAAAACGGGTCTGGATGACCCACACAAGCTCAAGAAGCGTATTGCTATTTAAACAAATCACATTCATTCTTCTGAGTGTATGATTGTCATGACTGCAGTTCTTTACTGAACTTTGCACTGAATTGCACATCATTCTTTTCTAGTCTTATAGTAGATGCATTATTTCATTTATTTGTCATGTGGGCTATGAAGGAAGCAAAATGTGATCCCAAGGAATGCTAAGAGATACTAAGGTAATTATGTGGGGACTGCTACAGAGACTGTAATTGTCCGCACTGTGGACTAACTTTATGGGACTTAGGTGTAGACTGTAGACTGTAGACTGTAGAGCTATACAAAGGCGTTACATACATTTCATTCCCTTATTATATTGAGATAAGTGTAAGAACACAGATACCGTCAGCAAGTGCAAGATTGGCCCTTACGTGTAGCATTGGCCCAAGTCAGAAAAAGTTTAGTTGAGCTGTAGTGTGATCTTGTGATTGGACTACCGACCTAATTCATGCATCGCTGAATAGGTAGCACCACTGGCCTGATGAACTCAACGCATGATCTCGCCACTGCACTACAAACCTTTTCTAACTATGGATCAATGTTACACTTAAGGGCCAATCTTACTTCAAATGAGGGTACTGCGTTTTGTTTATGCGTTTCAAATAATTTTCTTAATAATATTTAAGAAATTTATTTATTTATTTAAGAAATTTTACAAGCAAAACACCTTTTCTTCGAAACTTGACGATTGTCGGAAAATGCAAAACATATGCTGCATTTATAATTTCATTTTTAAAATTATTAATTCAAACCAAAAGCTCAAATTATCAATATCAACGTGTAACTCACAAAGGTTGGGTGTGAGGCGATACGAGGTGACGGATGCGGCGTCCAGTCTCTTGTCTTGGAGGGCAAAGTATTTGTTCTTGGGGTGCACTTGAGCTGCCAGGGCCCCATGCAGCGTCACCGCCAGCAGCAGCGCACGCATTTTCTACCTGTCGACAGTTCAATTAAAAAAAATTGCACGAAGTTGAATTTCTGTTCTCGAAGCGCTAACTCAACTCAATTTATGTTATATGTGTTAATGGTTTCTGAATTAGATATCTTGCATCTGCACTCAAAATACTCGTTAAGGCGTGCCAAATGAAAACGCCTAAAATTGGGAATACATTTTCGAAGAGTTAGTACGATTTTACGTTCCATTTTTAAAATGTAGTTATGTTTGATTTCTTGATAGAAATCTACAATGAAAGTGACACAAGTATCATTGTCTATGTAGGTTGTATTGAAGAAGGAATTAATATCAAGCGAGAGTTCAATTTAGTTTATACTTCTTATTACATCTTAGAACATACCTAATGGTAATACCATACTGGAGAAGGGTTATTAATTTGAAATGATTGCCAATTCTTCTCTTGTTATTCAAAAAGTTTATTCAGCGCTATGATAGCAAGATCTGTAATTATGATACTAGTACGTATCAGACATAGCTCACATCAATAATTGATACCTGATTGTTGATTGGCTTACGTAAAATTATTTGTTGGTATTCACCTTCAGTAAGCCTGAGCTTTAGTGGCGTAGGCGGGAGATCGGAGAGCTGCAGGCCTTGCACGTCCCGCGACAACTGCTGCCGCGTATCTGAGGGCACCGCCGCACCTGCACCCTATTTGTCAACTCGCTGCCATTGTAGCGCCTTATTTCCATTTGTTTGGAAAGCATGGAGATGTGCTTGGAAATTTCTATTGTATGTAATTGATGAACGTGATTTACCTCAATGTAATAATTGCAGTCATAATATTTGACATCGCATTCATTTCTGAGAATATTGAAACTGTTAGAATTAAAACAACAACGGTCAACGTTGTGCTTCGTGGTTCATTGTTTCTTAAAGCAGCTAGGGATAAAAAACAAGCATTAGAATATCTGAGGAGGATGAGATTTTTGAAAGAATGTTAAGAACTCAGAAAACGTGAAGTGACCTGGTCTTGATGAGTCAAAATTTTCGAGCAGAATAACTGAATCTGCCAGGCAAATGGAATTTTCTTCTGACTTAAGTGATCCATTGGTTAGCCATTTTATCATATTACGACGAATTTTTGTGATATAATCACAATTAATGATATCAAATGAATTAGTGTCATCAGCTATAACTAAAAGCTTACATAAAAAAATAAATTGAAATGGCATGAAAATGTAGTTATGGAGCGTTACTACATGCAATGTGCAACAATCAATGAAGAAACTTTCGTAGTCAGAGCAACGAAGCCAAAGTAATCGCCGGACTCCATTTTCTTATGAATTTTCCAATGCATGCCGAGAGGTCAAGCTAGTTTTGTTGCCTCTCATAATGACAAATCAGAGACCGTGTCGCTAAGCCAACGGCCTTCGATCACCAACCCTCTTGTCCGCGGAAAGGTGCTATATTGCCTGAAAAGGGATATCGTTAATATAGCAGCTGGGCGTGGCCGACTTAAAACCGCTGCTGGTGTTGATCTAGAAACACTCGTCCAGGTGTAACGTTTTCGTTTATTTTCGAAGCACTTTAGATCTTAAAATATCACCGTGCATGGTATTGCCTATCAAAGAAATCGATCGAAGTTAAGGTGTCTCTTCCCTAGTTATTCAGCAGTATCTGCATTAAAATATGATAATGAGATACATGAGGTTTTGGTTATTTTAGATACTCTAGTACTCCAATGCTTCTTAGAAGGATTCTCTTATTGCAGTTTTTAATAAAATAAGTATTAAAGTAATCCTGATATTATTAGATTAATAGAAAAAAGTCAATATATTCAGTCAGTAAAATAGGAAGCGAGCCATCATCACTGTTCAAATAAACGGGCCAATCATGGGTAAGCATAGAATGTTAAGAACTCAGAAAACGTGAAGTGACTTGGTCTTGATGAGTCAAAATTTTCGAGCAGAATAACTGAATCTGCCAGGCAAATGGAATTTTCTTCTGACTTAAGTGATCCATTGGTTAGCCATTTTATCATATTACGACGAATTTTTGTGATATAATCACAATTAATGATATCAAATGAATTAGTGTCATCAGCTATAACTAAAAGCTTACATAAAAAAATAAATTGAAATGGCATGAAAATGTAGTTATGGAGCGTTACTACATGCAATGTGCAACAATCAATGAAGAAACGTTCGTAGTCAGAGCAACGAAGCCAAAGTAATCGTCGGTCTCCCTTTTCTCGTAGATTTTTCAATGTATGCCGAGAAGTCAAGCAGATTTTGTTGCCTCATAACGACAAATCAGAAACTGTGTCACTAATGCACGGCCTTCACCAACACTTCTGTATGAATTTCTGCGGAAAGGTGCAATCGAGTAAAAAGGGATGTCATTAATTTACTAGCTGGGCGTGGCCGACTAAAAACAGCTACTCGCATTGATCCCGAATTTACTTCCCAAACTTTTGAATTTCATGAAGTTCAGAGAGTGTTCTCAGAGTGTTCACACTACCTCACTCGACAGTGTAAACACTCCTACGACGGTAAAGTTTTCGTTTCTTTCACGAAGCACTTTAGATCTTGAAATATCTCCAAGGTACTACCAATCAAAGATATCTTTCGAATTTCTTCTCTGCTGTAATTATGCATCAGTAGCTGCATTGTGCTAATGAGATACATGAGGTTTTGCTAATTTTAGATACATTAGTGCTCCAATGTGTTCCGCTGATGAGAGCCACCAACTACCAACTTGATGCTTTCTAGGCGGATTCTCTTATTGCAGTTTTTATACAATTAGTATTAAAGGTAATACCGCTATTATTCGATAATTTGCATAAAGTCAATAAACCCAGTCAGTATAATGGTAAGCAAGCCATTATCCCAGTTTGCATTAAAGGGTCAATAACAAGAGGCGAGCGGTCGAGAATTATGGCAGGTGACCGTAATCCGTTTGTCGCCGATGCTGCTTATCGCACAGCCATGGACGGTTGAACTGAAGATTTGTTGTTTGGTATGGAAATCCCCCTTCACTGTGCCCGTGTTCCACAAGTTCGTGCTCGTTCCTCACCTGATTGATAAGATTCGATCGTTTTTCATTGCACGTTTGACAAGCATTGCATTTAGGCTATGTTAGTATTTAGTTAATATCAGAATACTGGTGATAACACAATTAAAATAAATAGTGTCTATTGACCCTCTTCGATTCATGTCTTGATTTAACATTTTTTATTCGCAGGTAAAATAAATGGATTAGAATTATTACCATAAATATGCCAAAACTGCCAGATTTGGTAACTACTGACACTTTCGAGTTTATTCCATAAAAAAATATGTTGCTTGATATTAGTTAAGTGAAATGGATAAATTATATCAGAAATCGCTGCCGAAATTAAAAGCGTATATTCAAGATACGTAAAATTTCCAGGGTGGAATATGAAGTCTTTGACATGTGTGTCGAATATCTTTTGATAGGGTAAGCTAGATTCGATCAGTTCGAACACTATAAATGAACGCGCACAAAATAGTGACAAAAGGATACTCTTGTATACAAAGACCGACTCTGTGTTCGGTCTTTGATATGACATAGTAGAAGTGAACCGCTTATGAAGAAAGTTTATAGAATTGTCCCAGGTGCTATTCCACTTTGATTATATATTTAACATTTACTTTAGCCAATCCTTATTTTAAGGGGGGCTATTACATATGCTCTATTCGCTTTGCGTGCAAATTACGTCGAACATAAAACATGAGAAATGTAATTAAAATTATGTCGCGTTCATGAATACCTACTTTTTGGGATATAAATTTTTAACCGATCGCTGTAATTTCTATTCGGAGGATATCGACTGCTTGTGCTGGCTAGGTAAACGATGTAGAGGCGAAATTGAAAATCATAATGAATTTTTACCCCTGTCTTCGTCTGTACATCAGACATATTCCAGAATATTCTTGTGACCAGTCGACTGCTCATGCTGACGCGAATCATCTATGTCGCAACGTGGGAAAACTATTCGAAAATATGGAACCGAATAGAGTACTAGTACGTTTGAATGATCATAATATCGACTTGTGAGAGCGAGTTGCGTTTTCTATGGAGAGGAACATTGGTTAGGTCACCTGTCGGCAATTCGTATTTGCTGGCAAGTTTTACAGACAAATTGACGGTTCGGTCATAGGTCTCCTCCCACTAGGTCCTATTTCGGCAAACATTTTCAGGTGTTTTCACGAAGCTACACGGCTGTCCAATTGTCCTCTTAATTTAAAGCCAATTTTCTATAACCAATATGTCTATGAAGCTTTTTTACTTCTCAAACATTCCTCTCATTTGGGCCTTTTCCATGATTATCCTAATCTCCAACATCAATCTTTTAAATTCACAATGGAGCTTGAATCCAACAATAGTTTATCTCTTCTCGATTACAATGTTACAAAAACTACTAGCTGATTCCAGCCTACATTCCGAAAGTCAACGTTTACCGGTTTAAGCACCAGATTTTTCAGTTTTTGCTCATTTCGTTTCAAATTAAATGGGATTCAAACATTAATAAACCGTGGCTTCCGTATTTGCTCAGCTTCCATGATATGATTTATGAACACTGAATTTGAATTTTTGCGCATTACATTTTCATTAATTAAATGGGTTTCCGGGGCAATTGGTTTATACTCAAATTAAGAAATTTATGTCTAGGCATTATACTGAAGTTTTTCTCAGATTGAGACAATAAGAACTTGATTCATTGTTCTTTTCCCTACTTTGGTAATGCATCTGAGACTATGGCTTATCCTTTTCCCTACTTTGGTAATGCATCTGAGACTATGGCTAACGAATTGAAAATTTTATTCACTAAATACCTAACGAATGTTAATTTGCACGTAGTGTTGGTGAACAATTTTAAAATCGGCTTGTTCTTCACGTATAAAGATTCTCCCCCGTTTTTTATGCGTTCGTACCTAGTTCATAGAAACAGATGTGAGTTGTGCGCATCCGCGTACGTCGGTTTGGCGTCTCTCAATTTTTATACAAGGCTGGCAAGGCATAAGGGCAGAATTTACAGAACGGGAACCCTGCTTGCACATCCTCCTCATTCAGCTGTGCGCGTCCATGCCGAGCAGTCGAGCAGTACAATTAATGTCCCGGTCTGCGATAGTGATTTTATAATGGGAGCTTCCAACAACCGGTGTTTCTAACCTACGAATTTTAAAATCTGTGTGAATTTTTAAGCAAAAACTTAGTTTAAATATGACCTTCAGCTCCTATCCCCTTGAAATTGTAAATTGATAGGCCTGTCACAATGCCACCTCATGTTTTGCTTGTTTTTCTTCATCAATTTAGGTTTTTATCCTCAATGTAAATTTTAGTTTTCTAATTGCTCCTGCTTTTCTTGTAAGATTTTGACCTGACAATAGAACTGGACTCCAAAACGTTTTCTCCCATTAAAAAATGGCAAATTTTCTGACTATTTCTTTGAATTAAATTCTTTGGAACATCGATTTCGTGATTAAAAACAATTTATCTCTATTCACAGCTTGAGTTACGTTCCGAAACTGCAGCAAGATTATTAATTTGCAGGGAAATATTTTGTTGTGCAATTAACAACCAGTTAGGTTGAGACATTTCAGTGAAATCCACAATTAGAGGGACATACGGACACTGTACCGCTATACCTGAT